CTGACCAGTAAAATCTGCAGTGATAATCTCTTTGGATATATTTTTCCTAATTGACCTTATCCATATCTTAAACAGCTAACCCAAGTCTTCTAAAAAGGCAGCTCAAACTCTGTGGCAGGGACTGGTAAGAACAACTGTTCCTGAACTGAAGGTGGTGTCAACCACTGTGTCTGATCTTTCTTTGTTAGGCTCATTTCAACTTTGGAGTGTTCCATGTATAAGCATTGCATATTGTTTACACTTTATCAATTAAAAAGTTTGAGCTAGATTTAATACCTATCTCTATTTTAAAGAACAGTATTTGAGAGAAGCTTCCAGGTTAAAGGGTAGTTTTTAAACAGATAATGAAATGTAAACATCTGTATTGTTTTTTTTTAATTATCTACAAGCACTTAAGTGAAAGGTTATATTTGCTTTGAAGTGAGTCCAGAAATGCTGAATATATTCCGTCTGCAAAGAGGTATAGCACAGCATCAAAGGAAAGGGAATACAAGATAAGCTCAGTCTTAAGATCTTCAGTGCACCTAACTTTCAGTCTGGCTGTGACCTAGTTTCTCAGGTAGGAAACTAAAACACAGGAGCCGAATGACAGGCTCAGGGTCAGTCAAACGAAGCAAGAATGCCCATGTGTATCCAAGTGTTTGCTTCCCTTTGCCTCCTGTGGGGTGCATCTGCATTAATGAATGGTGCAATGAAAGGCGAGAACTAAGAGGTTAGAGTTGGCACGTTCCCATACAATTCTAGGACTGTGTATGTCTACATTGCATGGTTACCAGCAATGCAATTCATTCAAGGTATGCACCTAACAAGCAATACAAGGCAGATTTCTGTACAGCTGTTCTAGATTGCTTGTGGCTTACTAACAGAACCCCGCTTTTTAGGGAACCAACTACTGGGGGACTTTGCATCCAATTTGCAAGAGAGACACTTTAGCTGATGCCCCTAAGTGTATGTTCCACCTTGCTTCTTACAGATGAGAAGCAGTTTTGAGTGCATCAGTGATGTGCTTCATTGCACACCTCATGACTCCCAGTACAGACACAAAGCAAATTCATGCCTAAAAAGAACGCGTAGTAGGACCTGAATCACTAATATAGACAAACACATAGTGTATCAGCAGACAGTGTCAAGAGATCTTGGTTATTCACAGAAGTAGCTATGGATATTCATCAGTTTAAATAACTTTTTTAAAACCATTTAGTTCATTCTTGTCCAAGGCTGCTTTCTTACACACATCGCGCATCAAATGCAAATACGTTACTAAAGCCAGGAGGGATGATGCTCTGGAAGTGCAGAACCACTTTGCAACCAGCAGATGGCCGCTGTTCTGCTAGTTTGCTTTTCCAAATGGATACTGAGATACCTGTAGATTTGTGTGTCTTTCAATATAAAGCATAACCTGGTCAGTGAGTCTGGTCTGTCTTTTTCCTCTTTTTGATTCATAAATTTAAAAATAAAAAGAGCTGCTATTCCGGTAAGAATTGTGAATGTTGGTGCAGTAGACACTGTCTTTTTAAGCTGCGGAAGATGACAATGATCTTTCTAAATCACAAAAGGAGTCTGTATCAGTGTCATTGCAAGAAAAGTAATAACATTTCTTAACATGTTTTTGTCTTCACATGTTTTAGGAGATCATACAAAAATAAATGTAAACACCAGAAATGTGTTTATTGAATGTACAGGCACAGATATTACAAAGGTAAATTAATCTTTCTTGCTTTTGATATGCTGTAATATCATTGTTTTACTTTTGGTTGATAGGGCTCTAATACAAAGGCGTACAATAGCCAGGTATTTACTTTATGGAGCCAACCTCCCATTTCAAAAGGTCAAGATAAGTTGCAGGACTATGTGGAATTCCCTCAACACAGTTTTAGGCTTGCCTATAGACAGTGTTGTATTTTCATTGGATTTTGTTTTTACTGTGTCTTCACATTGATACTAAGTGTCCAGTTTGTATGAGAAAGTAATTTAAGTAAATTAGGGGCTTTTTTTGTTGTTGAGCTCTTTTTCTAAATCTGAAAGGCTTTGAAAAGAGTAAAAATCACTAAGACTGCCTATTTTGCCAGAATACTCTTTGTAAAGAATCATTTTGTCTCCTACTTAGAATTTGGGCTGAGGGAAGGAAGATGACACTTTTTCTTCTCAGTTATCTTTTTCAAGCAGGGATGCTCTGCAAATAATTGTCAAATTGAAGTCTTTCCATATGGCAATTCTGTAACTCAAAGCTGAAGGATGAAAGCTTAGCAGTTATAATTGCCTGTTCTTGAATACAGGTTGTGCATTCATTGATAGTTTCCCTGAAGTGTGTATCTCGATGCTTAAGAGCAAAACCACTTTTAACTTACCCTACTACACAAAGATATGGTAACGACACAAATAAATTTGCCCGTTAGGGAGAGGCTTCTAAGCAAACTAACAAATAACTGCTTCTTGCTACTGCTTGCCTTGATAGTAAAAATGAAAATGGCGCTGTTCTGTTTACATAAAGGAAATTACATTGTGAGACATCAAAAAACAGCCCTTGTAGATTCAGAAGTTGATCTGAATCTCATGATTATGTTCAGTTATACTAATCTCTTAAAATATTAACTGTAAAACAAAAGATTTTGCAGATGAAGTTATTTGGTAATATATTTCTAAACAATGCACAGTCCTCCAGTCCCTACATTCTCACTTGGAACGTCAGTGAAATGACTAACTAGACTAAAGGTTGGGAAGACACAGTTCCAACTGGTAATAAAGACTCTGTGTATCTTCAGAACAGAATTTAGCAAAGATATACAAATGCTTCAGAACGTTGAAAACCACAGGTTTCAAGTTTTTGCATAAATGTCTTTGCAGCAGAAGAAAAACATTTTTTAAAATCCAGTCTAGTATTCTAGACTGCTAGGATTGTGGTTGTTAAGTTATTAAATAGAATAGAATGAAGAGAGTGTAAGACAAGATTTGTTTCCCCATTTTTTGCTAAGATACTTTGTCTACTTCAACACAAGTAGATGACAGATTTCAATGTGATTATTATTTTTATTTTGTAGGCAAAAATTGTTCTTGATATTATAGTCACGATGTTTAGTGAATATTGTGAAAAACCATTCAGGTGAGTATAAATCTCCAGTCAGAGAGACATTACATTTGGGCCATGTGTTAAAAACATTTTTACTTCTGTTTTTCTGTCTCTCTCAGTGTTGAAGCAGCAGAAGTAGTTTATCCTAATGGGAAGACCCACATCTATCCGGTAAGCATAGTCATATCATATCTCAGAATGCTTGGGGAAAGGATTTTATTTACACAAAGTCTGGTAAGAGTCTCTTTCTGCAGAGGCAGTATATACTGGTTTTGAGGTGTAGTGTAAAAGCTCAGCTTGGCACTACCTGTATATTAGTGATTCAGGGCCTTCTCTAGCCCCACAAAAAATAACTCCAGCTCCAGCTTCCCCTTATCTAGAAAACTCATTCTGAAGCTCCGCTAATTTATGATAAGGCTAAAAATACAGCCTCACTGACATAGCCCGATACTCCAAAAAGAAGGGTGGAGTTTAAAGTTATGAGCGGTAACCACTATTGTGGTTTAGAGTTCATGTGATACGAACTTTTTCAGGAACAAGTAAAGACTGCAATCAAAGGTCAGAATCTGTGTCTAAAGCCTTTAAAACTTGTGTGTTCCAAATCAGGAAAAATGAATGCAGGAGGAGGTCCTTCAGGCTTAAACCAGTGGACAACTGAAATCAGCCTCAGCATAACTTACTTATCAGATCTGGAAGCTTTAATGCCCTTCAGTTAAAATAACCTTGTAACACTGGATTTTTCAGTCTTTCACTTTTATAGATTCCAAGTATATAAATTCCAAGTATATAAAGGTCTATAAGGCAGGATGTTGACTTCAAGTGCAGGTTTGTCTGCATTCAGAGTCCCAGGCAGACCTCTTTGCGGTAATGGAGTCTTACTGGTTTTGTTCTCTTAGTAAGTATAAAGAAAGCGATTCCTCCTGTTTCCTGAAAGTAACTGAAGACACACAGAGATCTGGTTGAGTTCATAAAATCAGATGTATCAAGCAAGTACAAACTGTTTAGAGGGAAAGAAACTTATTTTTACTGAGGTTTTTTAGTGGTCTTTTAGCTTTTTCTTTTAGCAATGTCAGCTTTAATCAACAGAGAAAAGATCTAGAATCCTGAAGACATGTCCAACAAAACAGAAATCTCTGCAGTAACCAAAGTAGCTTCCCTAGACAAAACAGAGCAAAAAAAATCCCCAAAGTTTTAGATGCTAAGGTTTTTAAGGATGTATATATCTAGAAGTTTAGAAACACCTAAGTAAATGCATACAAAATAACTTTCTTAAATATGTTGCAAACTTTCTAAGTAAAATACCAGTAGATATTTCTGTGCCAATACAGAAATAGAAAGTTTTCTTTCCTTTTCCTCCTAAAAGTCATTTGATCTGTACTAGACCGTGAGATCTCATGCATGACCATTCACTGCTTTAGGGCTTTGACTTAGGATGAACTTGTGACTAGAAACTTTCAGAAACTTTATTACTTGCATATATCAGAAATTATCAGAAGTTTCAATAACAGGGATTTCATGCTGCATTCAGCCTTCTAGCTTAACCGAGAACAGCTTTTGCATCACGAACTATATGTTTTCAAGAATCCTGTTACATTAAAATATTAAGTTTAGCCTAATATTCCACACTTGTCTTCTGTGGATGTCATGTTAGTATCATTATTAGAGAAGCTAGATTACCAAGATGCCAAAATTGAATCCTCTTAGGTAGAACTGGCAGGCATTGTGTATGCTGAAAAGCTTTGTCTTTCTTTTTAGGAACTGGCTTACAGAAAAGAGAAAGTGAAACCTGAACTCATTAACAAGAAAATAGGAATCAGGTGTGTTACTGCAAATGAAAACGTAGTTTTTACCCCATAAACACTGATAATGAAAAAGGTACTAGAAAACATTGATTATTGCATTGTTTTAAAAATGTTTACACTGTGATTTTTTTTTTTTTAATTTATCAAAAATTCAGGGGTTACAAAGTAAAGAAAAATGACCATCTCAAGAATCAGAATCTGAGCTGGTTCTGATGGAATGCTAAGTCTATGTACAGTCCATAAAGCACTTGGAGATTCTTCAGGATATAAGGCAATGCAGCAGAAACATTGGATCTTGCACTATATCAACTGGCTTTTTAAAGTAATCATAAATTACTACTCTCTTGTTTTGTTTCAGTGAAACTCCATCAAGCCTTGCAAAGCTGCTGACTAGGATGTGTTTGGAGTCACACGTCATAGGGAATGGGAACAATATAGAGATTGAAATCCCTCCTACCAGAGCGGACATTATCCATGCATGTGATATCGTAGAAGATGCAGCAATAGCTTATGGTTATAACAACATTCAGATGACTATTCCGAAAACGTACACCATAGCTAATCAAGTAAGATTGCCCCTTCAAATAAACGCTCTGTTGTCAGTAAACGACTAGTGCATGCCAGAAGGGCTTTGGGGAAAACAGAACCTAGGAATTAAATATTTTGACATGCTTTGCCTTGAGAAGTATTTACCATGGATAGGATACAAAACAGATGCCCCACTGATCTGAATAAGTCCAAGACCAGTGGTTGCTAGTACTTGAAAAAAGACAGGGTTTAAGTAGGGAGCCCATATTAAATCTCTAATTGGGAGATTCATTTCCTCAGGCAAGCCTAAAGACAGCTGGCTGACGCTTTCAAAAATTTTGAGTGCACAAGCATAGTACCTCCCTAGTGAATTCACTGTAATGTAACAGGCAGAATCATCTCGGGAAAGAATAGAAAAATATTCTTAGACGGAAGTTGAAAATTGTTTTTTGTTTCATTTTAGCTCCCCCTCAATAAGCTGACAGAACTTCTGAGACTGGACTTGGCAGCTGCTGGATTCACCGAAGCACTCACTTTTGCCCTGGTATATTATACTGATTTCATATTTTTCTTAGTTGTGTGTTGGAACAGAGATGCAGCCAAAACTGCAGACGATGGTCTGAGGATATGTTGTTGCATAAATGTACCAGTATTATCCATTACTGTTTTGGCAGGTGATTGTTTGCCGGTGCTTTGGAATTATAGTATAATATTTTATGAGTTTGTAGGTCAGAGAAATTGAATGAGTCACTGTTAATGTGGCATGTAGTTCTAAGTATAGAGGCAAAAATAGCTGCTGAAGTACTGGGTTTAGTTTAACTTGATAGGATGAAATTGTAAGACAGCAAGTCTCTCTTGAGACTTTGATCACCAGATGTGAAATTCATCATAGTTTGATAATCTGGAAAACAAACATAAAAATTAGTACTTTCTGGTGGATATTACTACAGTTTAGAGATTACCCTGTTTCTATTTGTCTCTTTTAAGTATTGTCACTTGCCCATGATTCCTTGCATTAGATACCAAGCTAATATGTAGTTATTCAGTCAGCAAAGAGTTTCCTTTAAGAATACCCGTGAAAAAGTTATAATGCACACTAAAGGGACACAAATTCCCCTATAAATTTCACCACAGGTGGGTTTTTTTTTTTGCATGGAAGAACAAATAAAAATATAGTAATTGTTGTTACCACCGGTTGCAGGTCTTATTCATATTATTTGTTACAGCCATGCAAGTAGTCTTTTACCAAGAGCTAGGACTCTGCAGCAGCATGTGCCACTCCAGTACTAACAGCTAGCATAATTTCTAATACTGAAATTTTGCAGCAGGATTGTTTTGTTGAAATCAGATGTTCAGTAGGAAACACCATCTTCATCATGGCCACTTGTTCGTACCCCTTTGCCGTAGTTGTGAACTGGATCAGAGAACCTGATCTACTATTTAAAAAAAAAAAAAATGTTAAGTACACCCCCACGCCCTCCAAATGTATATGGTAACTGTCCATATCTGGAGACTGGCATAGCTAGCTATTAAAAATACACTATACATTTTAGAAAATCCTTTCTGTTGCAAGATCTGCTCAAAGCCTTTGCCTTAAACTGCTAATTTGTGGACATTTAGCGTATGGGGAGCTACCATCACATATGCTATTAAACCCTTCATGGAATTTCTCAACCTTTTCCTGAACTTAAAACTTACTCGATGGCCAGAAGTATACATCCCTGAAAGTACACAAACTTTTAAGAAATAGTTATCTGATCACAGATTATTTTTTGATAACTTACTTAAAGATTTTAAGATACAGTGATGCAGGCTCCTAAAACACTTCCACGCATTTGAAAAGTCCAGGTATTGCAACCAAAGTTGGTAATCAAAACTGATTGAATAAAATTTTAACACCTTCAGATTTCATGGAGCTTCAAAAGCAAAATTTGGACTAAAGTCTGAAAAATATATTCCACTTTTACTATTTTGTTATTATCTCATTTAAGTAACTAGGACTAGTATTACTAGTATTACTTCCTGCAGTGCTAGTATTTGACAAAGATATTCAGACTATCTGTGGTAGTACCATGTTGGGGAAATAATATGTGTAACATGGTCAAGCTTTTATAGATTTTCCTTATTCATTAATAAATATCATTCCATTTTCCAGCACTGAGTAGGTAATATGGTTAAAAACATCGAATGTATTACATTACTACAACTGAGGACCTTTATGAACTGCAACAGCAGAATTCTGTGAGATCACGCAGTTTATCATGTTATCACATTACATATTTGTATTTCTGCTGTGGCATGATGAAACCCACAGTCTGCTGTTTCACCAACACTTTATTAAAACACCAGTGTGAGGCCTATGACTATGACAAATATAATTCATGCTACAACGTTCTGTAGCCCATTGTTATATGACAAACACTGCTTATGTATTTGTGCATACAATCTGTTTCTCGGCTTGAGCCCCAAATTATACTTGTACACAATAGCATTGCTTTCTGTGAGGAGCTCCAATTTAGCCAAAATGCATTTAGTTAAATCACAGTAACATACTGTAGTTTAGATACGCATCTGAAAACTGTTTAACACAGTTTTCTCCTCCTAAGGTCAGCATTCATTTACGATTTTATTTTTTTGTATTCAATAATCCACTTTTTCAGATGGTATCATCTGCTCATTTTTCTCACATTTGGTCTATCAACACACTTTTCAGAGTGCTGCCAGTGCAAAGGGAACACTTCTGGGAGACTGCAGTATACTAGCAAATCCTCAATTACATGCCTAGTCTGCTATTGGTTTCTTTAATACATTAATAAAGCTATAAATTCTGGAAATCTGTAGGGTGGATCTTATCAGTAGCATCTGTTGGTGTATGTGCACAGACATCATCTGAGCCTGATGAAGTGCATATGTATTGCTTTACTGACCAGCTTAAAAATACACCTTGAGAATAAGGGCTTTAAAAATACTCCAACTCAAAAAAATGAAAACAACAACAATGAACTACGAGAATCCTGTGCAGCTATGAAAATTGAAGGCTTGGCCATATGATTCCTTTTTTTCGTAGACAGTACTTTACTTTCTGTAAGTAGCCCCAAAGGATTGTTTTCTCTGTGAGAAAGCTTGGGTACCATTCCCTTTACAAGTGCTATTTTCAAAATAAAATACTTTACCAACTACGAGTCAGGGGGCAGAATCTGAGCCTCTGTTTTTTAAAACAGATGACAGCAAATCCATGACAGAAGCCTAACTAGACGCTTGTCTTTTTTTTTTTTTTTTGAAAACAAGCTTTATTTTGGTTAGTAATTAACATTTGTAGATAAACCAGTTTGCCTGCTTAGTCTTAAGACTGGGGCTTAATTTTTATTATGAGTGAGTGTTGCACATGAGAGTGTATATTATGGGGCCTCAGAGCAACTGCTACAATTGCATTGTTCATTCTTGATATCAAATTTCATCATTGGCTTACTGTCTATTTTAACTACTTGACCTTGGTGTTTTTTTGTCTCTTCCTCTCAGTGTTCTCAAGAAGACATTGCAGATAAACTTGGCATGGATATCTCTGCAACAAAAGCAGTGCGCATAGCAAACCCCAAAACTGCAGAATTTCAGGTGAGATAATTCAGGTCAAATTCTGAGAGCAATGTTGTCACAGATTCTGTATTTAAGGAAGAAAGAAAGGAACCAACAGGAAATAGAATTTATAAACTATAGAGCTACTTTTCCTGCATTAATGAGGATGTGTATATTTATGTGCTAAATTTGCTAGTGGTCATTTTCTGTTACTTCTTCACTGAGAAATACCTTACTCGGTGTGAAATACTATTAGCTTTTCAATAAAGTAAAACACCATGCTGTGTATGACAGCAGTGGCAAAATTGAGCTGTCTTATTACAGAAAATCCCAGATGATTGATCAACTCCCACATTTAGAAAAGCCATTCAAAATAATGGAACTACTAGACCTGGCAATCTCTAAACTTCCTGAGCTCTGGATAGGAAATTTTTTTTTTTAAAAATTAGTAACCATTATTACTTTTTTTAAAAAATTCTGTATTGCTCTAAGTATTTTAATCTCCATTTCTAGATCATTTGATCTTTGCTAGAGCAGTGAGTGAGAGCTCAAGTACAATATTCTCAACAATTCTGAAAATACCTAAAGGTGTACCCACAGTTTTTTTATTTCTTTTAGAGAGTTTTTTTTTTAAAAAGATGCTTTCTTTAGTTTACAGGGAAGATAAATTTAGAGGCTTTTTTTGTTTCTAACCTAAGAAATACAAAGGTGAACACTTTAGAAAGGTTTAGAAAAGTTTCAGCAGTCTGTGGGTATTATGTTTTGTGATTTGTGGGGTTTTTCCCTCAAGATCTTCTTCAGAAAGTCTGATTTCTCTTGAGTGTCTAAAATACCTTTCTAGATCTTATCTCTAATACTAAAAACAGTCTTCTGCTGCTCTGAGATTCAGGAACAGAATTTTTGGGTACCTTCACGTATTTTCTGTTCTATTTGGTACCACAAATAAGCAGTCATACAAGACACTGCTGTAACCTGTTTAGACTATTATCACCTGTTCAAATATATCATTTGGCGTGATGGTTACAACTTTTTTTGGGGGGGGAATGGTGCACTTCTAAGGAAGTATTTGAATGGAGAACACAGGAAATATGTGTGATTGTATCTGTAAGAACACTAATATGATTGCCTCCTGCCTTGGTTCTTTGCATACATTTTCTGTGTATTTCAGGTTATGCACAACTGCAATCTGAATATATCCATTTCTGTTACTTAGGTTCTGCCTATATCATTGATGGATATCAGGAGGTATCAAGATAATGTTTCAGATAGCACTTAATATTTCCAAAATAACACTTAGTATTTACCTTTTGCATAAGTGAGATTAAATTTATGTGAATTTTTTTGCGCTTCTTTCTGTATTGTTTGTTTTTCTACCCTGCGCTGCAGCTCAAGCATCTGTGAAATGACACCTATTCTTAAGCTCACAAATAATGCTCTTTCAGAAAATGCAGTATAAAGAACGTGCAGAGAATGTACATTTTCAGGTTTAATAATTCTAAAACAAAGATGCTCAAACACAAGAGATTAGTGCAGTATTTGTACCTGACTACTTTTAAACTCTTGTTACAAGTGAGCAAAACAAAACATTAAGAAATCCAGTATCAGCTATTTTGGAAGGTATTTCACTTGCAGCAATCATGTTTGTCCTGCAGGTGGCACGTACAACCCTCATTCCTGGGCTGCTGAAAACTATTGCGGCTAACCGAAAGATGCCCTTGCCTCTCAAACTCTTTGAGATTTCTGACATTGTAGTAAAAGATCCTAATACAGGTAAGAGAAGGTTCCTCAAAATCTTTGATAATGGAAATATATGTTTACATGCTAAATAGTAATAGTAAGTAAATCTGTATTTCTTTAGTAATGTAAGAATCACTACATACTACATTCTGTTTTTTAATTTATGTGCAAAAGTTAAGAGATTGGCATAACAGACTAGATTTTAGAGCTGCTAGAGCTAAGATTCTCGGAAGTGCAAATGGGCACCTTGTAAATATTTTTAGGCATCAAAATATCCATTAAAATCTGTCAAGAATACTGCAAAACTCCAAGGATAAATGCAAGACCATGTTGGACCAAAAAAGAACAGGCTCTAAATTGCTTATGTTGATGCACCCATTCTTACTTGCTCTTAATCTAGTGCTCCTTTGCATGCTTGTCAGGGCTGTAACTCAGGAGAAAAACTCCCTGCTGGTAATGTTTTCAAGTGGCACAAACCTTGGAAAGTAGTAAATATCGAAGGCATGCTGCTATTACAGTACTAGAACCTGTTTAAACTGCTGCACTCTCAAAAATGTGCAGTGCTGTGCCAGCTGAAAAGCAGCATGTCTCAAGCCCGGGAACAGCAGGTTGTACTTGCAGACTGATTCTATTCTGGAGAGCTGTATGTAAGTCAGAAGAAAATATTGGGGTCAGTGTGTCTCAGCATGAATCCCTTTTCCATCTTTCCATCCTCTTTAAACAGGATTGATTGTATTTGTTTTCCAAAATTATCTTCTGGAAAACTGACAACCAATATGAAGAATTAGATTTGTAGCACAGATACAGGGTAAAGAATGGATCAAGTCTGTGTATAAAAATGTATAAATAAATAAAAAGCTCAACAGTATAAAATTTTGCCTCTCATCTACAAAAAGATTTTTCTTATCTTTCCACTTCATCCAGCTATGCTAAAAAAGCGTGTCTGCCTTTGAATTGTTCTATAACCTTAATTGTTTTACGTGAAACAGCCAAAGCAGCTAGTTCAAAAGGTTCAGTAAAGTCCTTCCTGTGTGATGGGTCCTCTTTGCACTGATTTGACTGTATAGGATCAAAATTTCAGATTTTTTTTTTTTTTAATCTGGAAAAATGTATCCAAGTAAAATGAACTGTAAAAATGTTTTTTTTAAATGTTAAAAATTTGTCTAAAATTTACTGATTCATTTCTTTCTACATGGTGTATTGGGAAAAGGAGTGCACAAGCTACAACTTTTGGGAGAAAGTGCTGGTACACTGTGCTACAACTCTGAAGTTTTGCCTCGGTGAAAAAGGCTGACATTACTTTAAATTCAGCAGCAGAAATGGTTCTGTTGTTTCATTATCTGGTTTCAGATTTTAGTGGTTGTGTTTAAGGTATCTGGGATCTGCAAAACAAAGGTTTATATAAGGCATAAACAAAATGGCAAGTAAATTGCTTTGGTGATGAATTTAATTTGTAGATTACTTTATTTTTAAAAAAGAAAAAAAAAGCCTTGCCAAGCAAAATAAGCAGTTTTAGCAAACCACGTAGACTTTTTTTTTATTAAATACAGACAGTTTGGTGGTGCAGCTCATTCCTTGTTGGGCGTGGAGTTAGCTAAAATGCAAAAAACATGGTACAGATGGCAGAATAGCATCAGCATTCTTCAGAACCAAGAGGGGGGCTATTTATCTTGCAATAAGGCTTTATAAAATTTATAAAATATTCTGGATTTATAAAACTTGCAAGTTAAATTGATTACTTTTATTTCATGTGTGGTAGTTGTAGTTCTTGAAAGCTTTCATTTATGTGGATGGCTGCTTAACAGTTTTATAAAGGCAGATTTTTGTTGTGTACTTCATTTTGATGGGAATCACTGCAACAGATGAAAGAGACTTCTGAGGCAGCAGCTTTGTACCCTATGCTCTTGGGCAGCCCTCTCACGGGTTGAGCACTTGCAGACTGTGAACAGTACCTGAAATTGTTTTTAATGTTGTGTTTAGAATAACTACTGTCTTCCCCAAATTTACTGCCAAAATTAAACTTGCCTAACAAACAGTTTGAAAGGGGAGGGGAGAAGGAAATAACTGGTAATTCTGCAAACACTGAAAAATGTGGAGTTGTCCTCTCACATATGGAATGAGATTTCCTGCAGAAGGCTTATGTCATCAGACTGACTAATTTAATTTTATTATTTCATGATTTTGGCATGCAGAATTTCCAATTAATAATTTAAAAAGTATGGGTCAAAAGAATACTGACATTAACTATATTTGAAATGACATCTTGTAGTCATTCATGTGTGAACGAACCTAGCTCTTTTAAACACACTGGTTTTTAATAAAATACCTTCTTACACAGAACCCATGCTTACCAAGGTGAACTGAACATATTTCTCTTCAGACATATCTGGCAAAAAGGTTTGACATACTAAATTAGCAAAACGTGTGCCAGATTTAATATAACTAAATGGAACCAAATCTGAGCAGAAATGTTTCTTCTCAAGGCAAGAGGAAATATGCTGATTTTGAATATGTTACACAGCATTTGTGTGGTGAGCTTGTAACACTAGATAGTCACTTCTGGTAAGATAGTTACACTAGTTCAGCATATAAATCATCACTTTACACCACAAGTCCTAACAGAGAATACTCCTTCTCTCCCTTACTGCAACAGAAGAAATTAATCCATTAGAAAATCACCTCTGACCAGTGATCTTGGAGAATCTGGCAAGCTTAGGTAGCACACATTTAGCATAATTTACATCATTTGTGATTACAGCAGCTGCCATATTTTGAAGCATTTTTCCAAACTGCCTAGAAATGTTAGTTATATGCAGAAAATAGTTTGGGATTTTTGTGAGGCTGAGACAAGTTTAAATGAGCAGGTGCCCCCTTTCAGATCATGCAGTCATTTTTCTGAAGCATCTCTAATTTGGAAGGGAGCAGGCTTACAACACTGCTTTATCTTCCTCTGCACTCTTTTGGCTCACATACTCCTAACCAGCTGCCCATCCTTTGGATTGTTTTTCAGCAGCATCCCTAGGAAGTGCTTTGAAGTCTCAGAAATATATATATGTATAATTTAGGTTGACATACTTGGCAGGCTCATTTAAAAAAATAGAATTGTTTCATGGCATGACACAAGAGATCTCTTAAGTGAGTTATAAAGAACCAAAGCATTTCTAACATCCGCCAGCTTTTGCATACAGTTCCTAATACTTTCTTTTTTTTCTTCCATTGCCTGTTGTGAATGAACTTCTTGTGTTGCAATATAACTGTAAAGGCATAAGTTTTATAACACCGTTTTTTGAAATGCTTGAAAATGTATCCTTTCCTTTACCAAGGATTTTTACAATTGGCTTGAAAACATGAGGTATAAAAATTCGTGTGTTTATTTCTGATGTGTTAGTTAAGAATAGTGATATGAAGACTCCATTGACTATCTGAATAATAATGAAATTAAATTCAGATAGTTGTCACAAATTCTGCCAGCATAATGAATCACAAAAAAAGAAAATCATTCTACTGAACATCTAGCCCAAAGAACACACTGTTTTAGGAACAAATAAAAACTTGGGGAAAGGGAAAACATTTTCTTCTTTTCCAGTGCTCAGCACAACACGAAAATAGATTATCCACCATTCATGACTGTGTATCTCTAATTGGTACCTTAGAAGAGCTAGGAAACAGAGGTACGTAATTATGGGACTGAACAGCCAAAGTACTCAGACCAGAAATCAGATATTGCATTTATTGGTATTTTCTCTGTAGCCTTTACTTCTCTGTGTTGCCATTTTAACTTCAGGATTGGGTTCTCCAGCATTATTTAATACTGCAAATTATTGTAATGACAGGAAAAAGTTCCTGAATGACAAAATACAGACTTACTCCCACAGTAAGTTCAGCTTTCAGTGACTGTTGAGAAAACTTGCAGCTGTATTGCCACATTGCTGCTCTAGAAGTTTTGAATGACTTTTGGCTCAAAAAGGCTGTGCATTCGTCCTTTGTGTAGGCTCCTGCTTCTGTATTTTGCAGTCCTTTTTAATCCTTGTATTTCTAGCCACTTGGTAAATCTTTTCCTGTTTAGTTTTTGATAGATTTTTTTGTTACTAAATGGTTAGTTGGACCAAATAAGCAAGACATAAATGTAATTAAAAAAAAAAAAGTCTAATTTCTTATGTGGTAGATACTAACTGTTCAGGGAACACCCAATGAGCACTAGAGTTTCTGCTTGTATTTAATGTCACTGTACATCAAGCACGAAGGTTGGCTATGGTGGGTCAGACCAAAGGCTCATTTAGCCTAATAACATGCCCATAACACTGGCTAAAAGTGGTTGTCAACAGAAAAGCATGAGAGCAAGTAACCATATATAATATTTCTGGAGTGCTCCCCTGTTCTCTGACTACAAGTAGCTCAGAGACTTCCCAACTCAAACATGGTTCTTTGACTCTAGTAACAAAGCAATTTATCTCCTATGATCTTCCCCTGCCTCCTCAGAGCCATGTAAACTTCCAGCATCCACTAAATCCCATGGGGAAGAAGTTTCACTGCTTAACCCTAGGCTGCCTGTAGAATCCACTCCTCTCCTTGTTTTGAGCTTGGCTCCTGTTTATTGTGATGTCCCCTATTTCTTGTATTGAACGCAGCAGTGAACAATTGATGCCTGTAGAAAAGAACCATCTCTTGAGGTCTGAGGTGCTCAGTTCTGGTACTTACATCCAGAACTACATGGAAGTACAATTCAGACTGTAGGTGCAGCTGTAACTCCCATGAAGTCACTAACTGTATAAGGATCTTTAACCAGACTCTTTCTCTGAGCAGCATGCAGTGCAGTGCCTTTCTTTTGGGAATACTAAGCCCAGCTAAGATGTTTCATGACCAGAGGTTCTGACAGATGCCCACTGTGCACACAATTAGACTCTATAAAAACCAATTCACCCTGGCATATGCTGATTTCATGTACATTTCTTTTGGGTAATTTCTGGGAAAGAAACAAAAGCCCTACACATGCAACCTTATGTCACATGGTGCTGCCCTACCTTAACTTGCAGACCAGGGAGAGTTGTTCTTTTTAATCCTTCATTCTTAATTCCTTCACTACTGAAGTTCTTATTCCCTCCTTCCCTCAAAGATTACAAGTACTAACAGATCTGAAGGATTTCCTTTTTTTTTTGGAAGGTAATTCATTTGCCGTCAGTAAATATGGTTTCTTCCCCATATCTAATCATCATTAAGTGGAAGAGATAAATATGAGAATGTCCATGTAGACATGAGCAACTGGGACATCACAGATGCCAGAGGACTCTCTAGAAAGGGAAGAAAACTATGCATGAAAATCTGGCTTTAACTTACTGCAGTATATGTCAATATTACAAAGCAGTGCAATACAGAAGGGGATCACCTGATGATTCACAGTCCATGCTACATGCACGTAATTGGTCCTCTTGACTGGCTCTAGTCTGATCACGTGTGCTGAATGCCCTTGAGTGGTTGAAACTATTTCGATGCCCTTCTGGAACACCTGTCATGACTTGAATTGCAACTGAAAGGACTCTGGTTTATATGCTGCAGGGTTGCTTTACAGTGTGAACAGAAGCATGGTAAGTGGCGATGATAGGGAGACTGCCTTCAGAAGTGCAGGTCTGGTCCAAACTTTAACATAGTTTATATGCTTAAGATGCTTTCAAAGCATATGAACGTCCAGAAGAAGAGGACAGTCACATAGAGTCCTTCCCTGGCTCCAGCAAACTTTGCCCTTGTATATGCCAGCTTTGCTGAACACATACTTGCCTTGTGAACCTTGAGAAGGTAAAGACCTCGGGGCAATAAACAAGTTCACTACGTTAATCAGTATTTTGAATTTCACTGCTACTAATTGGCAGCTGTGACAATAGATGTGTTACTCTTCCTAGATCATTCCTCTCAAAAAGCAGAAATATTGAAATCCAGAATGAGTAAAGCTTCGAAGTAGGCCACAGTAGTCTAGAGAGTGTATATTGCAATGGTGTAGCCTAAAGGTACAAGTATAACAACATATTACTATGTACTCATTTTGAAAGTTTAAAAAAGAAAAACATATTTTGATGAAATCAATAATGTAACAAAACTTACAGCAGGGAGAAGGCAGGGTTTTGACTTAAGGAACTGTCCAAAGTGGGAGACGCTCATGTCTTGAAGTTGTGAGATACAGCAGGTTTTTCATAGTCACTTGGTTTTGGGGATGTCCAGGATGATCATGAAAAGCATCAGTTGTGATTTGGAAACCTGTGTGAATTTAAGTCTTTCCACAGATCACCATGCTAACATCATTACTCATTTCAAGTTGTGGGCTAGTTGTTTTGTACTGGTAGTTATCCTGCAGCTGAGTTCTATAAATATTTAGCTTTCCCACCACCATTACAAGTTTCCTGATGCTTACTGAGTATTTACATTTTGGCTAGTCTGTTTTTAATTTCTTTAACACTTAACTATATGCTTGGTGCCTGTAACTGTGTAGAAGATACTAGTACTTAAAAAGCCTATTTCCTGCTCAAGGCATAGGATACTTGAAATCTTTTGTTACAGTTCTGACTGTGAGACTCCAGTGACTTACAGAAATCCCATTATTTCCTCAGATTATATGACAAGTGTGTCAGAGAAGCCATTTTACATACTCATTTCTTCTTTCAGTCACAAGTGCTTCACAGTACAGCAGAAAAAAACTGATGCAAGAGGCAAGGTTAAAAGTGTGATAAAATTTCCCAGATAACATAATCGTTTCCTTCTTCTTCAGATGTAGGTGCAAGAAACTACAGGCATTTCTGTGCAGTTTATTACAACAAGAGCCCAGGGTTTGAGATTATCCACGGTTTGCTGGACAGGGTCATGCAGCTTCTGGAAGTGCCACTAAATGAAGAGAATGGATACACAATCAAGGCAACTGAAGGTAAGGAAGACAGAGCTGCAGTGTACAGCAGAGGTTGTTCTGGAGCTCAGATATTCTCCTACAATCTGAGGTGAATTTTTGGTTCTCAGCAGTAGGCATTAAGAATTAATATTATAATATATACAGTCATACTGCAGTATAAGTGAAAAGGCATTAACTGCGTTCACTGATTGTAAAATGGCATTGCTGTCTTTCTGTGAGCTGTCTTGAGTAGTTTTATACAAATTGCGAGTTGACAGCTTCTTAAGGAGACATAGTAAAGCGTATGCCATGAACTTCATGGACTGTTTACAATTAATTAATCTGCTGATTGCAAGGGTAGGTAGGAATTCACTGAATTGATGAATATGCCAGGTATCCACTGCATTCTCTTTGTCTAATGGTACCTGGAAAAGACAAATTCTTACACCTGATCTTTTAGTTTATAACTTTATCTATAGCTTCTATTCATATGTATCATTTATTTATATATTCATATGAAGATATATGCCTCATATTTTATTCAAAGACCTGCTGTCTTTGAGACTGAGCCTGCGCCTGCTGCTTAGACAAATATTTGTGTAACAGCCCTCTTCCTTCTCCATACAAGGTGAACTGCCCATGAATTAAAAATAACATCCTTAAGTGCAGAATCTCCTCTGTGTATGTGCATATGCATGTAAGAGAGAAAGCAAGCAGGCTGACCCCTTTACCTTATTGAGAGAGGGTAGGTTGATGCAAGAGAGCAAGCATCAGCAACTGATCTATTCTGCTACCTAAAATAACAGCGCAGTAAATACAGTATAGAAAAGCAAGACTGCAGGGATAGCGGCTATGATTCTACTTATACATCATGCATTGGTGTTCAGAGATATAAGACACTGACTCAGATTGACTCAGCTTGAAGAAGTGCCTCCATTCTGCACTTACTGGAACAAGTGGCACTGACAGAGAGTCCCTGACAGTCTGGCCAAACTTGCCTATTCATAGAACTTTAATGAAAAATTGTTAGATGTCTCCCTGTTTTGCAGTGCACTGCCAAGATGCCAAACATAACACTTCAGCTGGTCTCCTATCACTTTAATGCACATTTGTGTCATATTGATCCTCCCCCCTCCTTTTTTTTTTTTTTTTTTAAAAAACACAAAGTACTATTTTGCTCAGTATTACTTAGGCAGACTTTCAAAGGGTTTATTAGAATATTGTTAATAGGATTCCCAGGTTGACTAGAGAAACATTTAAACAATTGCACTTTTTGTTCCGATTCTACCAGGCACAGAACAGGTAATAGCAAATCTTCTTATCTGGAAGAAGGGTAGGGTGGGGGCATTAGAAGAGCCTCTAGGAACTGGGTACTCAGCTGTCATTGAAGTCAAACCAAACTGTTAAATTCCTTTTCAAAACTCTTCCGTAGCTTGTTTTTGAATAGACATATCAAGAGTTTGCTTTAGTAATGAAAATATTTCAAGTGTTTTATATTCTGTACTGTAGCATTTCAGTGATGTATGGGTGGCTTCAAAAAAGATCTCAAAGAATAATCCTAACACAGTGAAGAAGTTATTTGTAGATACTAGTGCCGTTTCATATTCCTGATGCTGTGGGATTTGCAATGCCCATTCAAAATCCCTGCATTCCCATGACATTACTCAACAATGTATTTAGTGTAAAGGATGGATTATGCCTTTCATATGCAATATATTACAAGCGGTTTGTGGCTTTTGGCTGTAGAAAAAAAGTGCCTACTACTTTCTGTTTCACCAGTGATTCAGAAACTCTCCTGAGATGACACGTGGATTCCTTGCAGTTCTCCTGACATTGGAATTTAACCTTGGTAAAAGTGCAGATGGCTGATACTCTAGTGCCACAGTCAATGCAGTATCACTACACCAACTTATTTAAAAGACCTTGACTGTAGAGATGGTTGGAAGTCAAAGTAGTTTGGGGAATTTTGTTTAGAGGTTTTTGGTTTTGGTTTTTGTTTTTTTTTTTTTTTTTAACTTGCTTCACAATCCATCAGTTAAGCATGTGCAAGAGAGAAAATGTCAGCAGATGATGGAGTGAGGTCAATTGATGAGGGGGCAGGGGGGGGAAATCCTGTAACATCTTGAGAGATTGCAGCATACTGAAATAATTCAGAAGAACCATGCAGAGGTTTTAAATCAGGACATTACACATGACGTGGATTTTTAGATGCATCTTTATGGAGCACGCTTTTTTTTTATTGCCTGTGCCAAATTAGAATTTCTACATAGAGAATTTCTACAGTGAGAAATGGATTTATCCTATGACTCCAATTTAGAAAGATCCTAGACACTTTTTCTCTGTGTGATCTTAACCACAACTTGAGACTAGTAAGCAACACAGTGTAAAGGTAGGGTTTTAGTCCAGTTATTTTTATTCCTTGTGTAACTGATTCAAATAGTTCCAGTGATTATGGGAAAACAATACAGGGAAAAAATGTTTTAAATGAGCAACAAAGAATAGATGGAGATGTACTGGGCACATATTTGCCTCTCTTCCAAATTAACTTTGGAAAAAGAAATGCCTGTACTATAGTCCTGTTTGGTCCATATGTGCAAATCATGGTTATTTAAGCTCCTTCTGTTCTACCAACACCTAAGTGCCTTGTGATTTGACCTTAAGGTCAGAGCCTTTTTGCCTTTATAGCAACACCTGTGAAAAAAGTACAGATGCTAGAAAATATGGGTGAAATTGTGATGTTCCCCTGGCCTTTGCACTACACTTTGGTGTAATCTGAGCTAGGTAATAAATGGAGAAGAGCTGTTTAGAGTCAGCCTTAAGGAAGAGAGGGGTTTGGGTGACTGAATTCAAGGATTTCAACATATATTTGGCACGCAATACTTTTCAGTTTCTTAAAGTTACTAATGGAACCTTTTTTTTTTCTCCTTATTACCGCTAAATATACAAAATTATAAAGTTTTAAAGACAGAACTCTGAAATGCTACCCATTGTTTTAAAATGCACAGAATGGACTTTTTGATACATTCGTGAATCCTACAATTACTGGCCTAGAAAAGCATTTTTCTTTTTTATTTGTTTTATAGCATAGGCATTCCTAATCAAACATAGATTGAAAAGAGTAAAATTACTGCATCAATCCTCAAATTTGTATGTGCTCAATAATAAAAATTTTTGCATAAAACTCTTGAAATTTTAGCCAGTTCCATACCATTAATAAAATTTAAAGATCACTATGGATGTGTATGATTAGGAGGTAAACAAAATAAAATCAAGCTTTTTAAGCAGTGAAACTACAGGTAGAAAGAGCCAACAAATTTGGTCATATATTGTCAGGAAATTTTACTTAATAAAATTATTTACTTTTGAGTTCACTTTCATTGGTTTCAGTTCCCTTGACTTGAAAACTAGAGGCATTCTGATAATTACATTGGAAGTTATTCTTAATTTCCACTTTTAATCTCTGTAGAAATGGGTGTCTTTTCTGCAACATTTTGGTCATCTTGTGCTTCTAGAAGACCATCTGAGATGACTATTTTCTTCCAGAAATCAGGACCATGATCACAGGAGGTGATGTTAATCATGGGATTTGGGTCCATAGTAAAGTCTTACTTAGGCTAAAAAGAATAGAAAAGGGCTTAGTAAATACTGACAGTGGATTCTATATTGCAGTCTTCAAAGGAGTGGTGTGAAGTGTAAGGTATAATTATCCTCGCTCACTTTATAACATTTAGAATGACTGTTCCTTATTTAAGGAAAGAAACCCTGGTTTTGCAGTACCTTCCGAGAGTCTATGTACTTTGCAAATAGAAGTTAATTGGGCACAAACTGTTTGAAAAAGGAAAATAATATCCATATTTTATGAAAATGAAGCAATTTGACAGGTTCACAGAAAATGTGAATGGTAAATCTGTGCATCAGTACTGCTTCACTGTCTACCCCACTGCCTTACATGACAAAATTGATATTTGATGAAATAGCATTCATTCATGTGAAAACAAACAATCTCTGAATAGCTTGAGCTTGTGACATGAGCTACTTTTTTTGTACATTATTGATACTTGTGAATTTCAGCTAACTCCTGGATTTTTTTTCTTTTTGTTTTTTCGGGGGGTATATTTTTGTTTGTTTGTTTTGTTTAAGTAAATGTTCATGCCATTCATTCTTTTAGGGTAATCAACAGCTTAGTAAAGCTGGGAATTCCACCCATTTTTGTTCAACAAAATGCGTACTTAATAAATGCATACTAAGTCTTGTTTTCCTTCAGTAATTGACAGTTGTCTTTCAAGAGGAAAAAAAAAAAGGAGGACTTGCACTCCCTTCTTTTTACTGCCCTTATTTAATTAAATGAAAGGTGTGGTAAAGTGTAGAAAATTTTAATTCCACAGTAAATCATAGTAATAGCTTCTCATTTAGTAAGGTTTAGCTGTGAAATTAAAGGTGTAATAGTTATCTCCATAACTAAGAACATCAGTAAACATTTGCTTTTATAATAATAATTATACAACAAACAACTTCAAAAGAAGATTTAGACTGTGAACCTCAATTTACAAGACAAGAGGAGGGAAGTCTGGGACTTATTCTGAGTTACATGTATAGAACTGAACCAGCATCTATCTCTGGTGATCAGTTTAAAATGGGAGACTGTAATATACACAGATGTTTAGTACCTGTGTTGAACGTGGCATTATTAATACCCGTTTTGTTTTAAGGAACTGTAGCTTGATTGCTTTTAATGGCAATCCTGGCCCTTCAGTTGCCTGTTTTGGCAGCCATTGCATTGGTCATGCATGTCGATAATTGTGTATTTACTCATAGATAACTAAAGGAGATTTGCCAGTTTTACTATGAAGCCTCCAAATCTTGTTTGTGACATACTAGAAGAGATCAGTCAATTCTTAATCCATTTAATTGGCATTCAAAAATAGATACAAGGATGCAATAGCATCTATAAAGTGTCTATCTACCAAACTTGTAATTTGAAAGACTATAATCAGATTTACTTGACAACATCTGTTTTCAATAAAAACATATCAGCTGGT